TCTTAAACCGCTTGTCCCGCACCGCCCAAACCGCTGTCACCATTCGAAGCCTAAGTATGTTTACACTTTACATATATGTTTATAAAATCATATATAGAACGTTTTAAAATAAGATAAAACAATATTTTGTTTTAGTCTTCGAAAAGGTGTTAGGTGCGAAGTAAAAAAAACCTATAGTCTATAACATAATAGCTCCAACAAATGTTTGACATAAGAGGTTTTAGAACGGTCCAATACCTTTTCTCTCATTATTTTGTCCAATTGACATGTAAAAAACTCTAAACACTACAAACACATTAAAACTACCTCTTAAGACATAAAACCGTATAAAAACATATCTTATAATATCAATTTAATAGCAGTTGTTTATTATTTTGGCATTACATAGGAAGAGTTTTTTCATAAATGAAACTTTACTTGAGGAATTTTTTCATCAAGTTTTAAGGTTAGAGATTTTTTTCATTAAAATCTTTTAGTTAAGGAGTTTTACATTAATAAATTTTACATTAATAAAATAGATCAAACAATACTTAAAGCCCTAATAAAAACCATATCAAAAACTATAAAAACCTTGATATATCAATTGCCTAAAAGTGCTTTGGAGTGTGAAAAAACCAGATATCTCTGTAACTCAATGAAAGCAGTAGAAGCAGCAATTAAAGATAATCATATCTTTATTCAGAAATATTCAGAGAAAACTGATTGCACCTACAATCTTTTCTAATCAGCGTTACACAACATCACCACCAACTGATTTGCCCCTGACCATATTTCCTAAGCTATCCAGCTTACCACCAGCTTACCACTAGCACCAGCTGATATCTCTTTTGTTCACTCACCAGAGTAAACCCCTTACACAATCAGCCCCAACTAATTTCCCTTTTGTTCACTCACCAAAGTAAACACTCTTTGAGTTCTCTGCTTATTTTTTCTGCAAAAAGAACTACCTTTACAAAAGTTATACTCTGTAAGCAAAACTTCAGCTGCAGTACCAGGACACCCCCCTATTGTCCGCTGAACAGTTGCATGATCCTTGTAGAAGACTTTTACCTTCTCCATCATGCTTCTTGTCAGATAATCACATCTGCTCCTGAAATCCTGACCAACTCTGCTACAAACTGCTTCCACTTGCTTGTTGCTTAGTCCAAAGTGCCACGTCATCAGTTCCATAAGTCAACTCTTGCTTGTTTTTCTGTCTAACCTGAGTGACTCCAGAAAGCCTCTGAAGTACAGATCTTTCATTCTCCCCCTTTTTACCTGAGTTTGTCAATCCAAGCACAAGTACCTGAAACCAT